CCCAACCACCGTTAACTGTCATGAAACTTCTTATTTTGAACCTTCTTCCTAACATACACCTTAAAGGTCTTATCAGGTGGTCTACTGGGAAGGGATAAAACATGATATCAAGGAGTTTGTGATGCAGTGTGAGGTAAGCCAATGCAACAAAACAGAAACATTAGCCCTACAAGTCCGTTACTACCACTGCCCATTCCTTCTCAAGTTTGGTTAAATATTCCTATGGATTTTATTGGGGGGTTACCCAAGGTGCAAGGCAAGGATACTATTTTGGTCTTGATAGATCAACTCACCAAATATGCCCACTTTTTGGCCCTCGCTCATCTTTTTACACCCATTCAAGTGGCTCAGTTGTTCATCAAAGAAGTGGTGAAACTCCATGAGTTTCCTTCACATAGTTTCTGACAGAGACAAGATGTTTCTTAGCAATTTTTGGCGTGAATTATTTAGAAAGGTTGGTACCAAGTTGAAGTTTAGCACAACCTACCATCTGAGGTTGTTAATCATTGTTTAGAGACCTATCTGAGGTGTATGACCAGTTCTCAACCCAGGAAATGGCCACAATGGTTGCCTTGGGCTGAATTTTTGTTTCATACCAATTATAATGCTCCTAAAAAAATGACTCCTTTCAAAGCTCTCTATGGTCATCACCCTCCCATACTTTTTAAGGGCAATCCTATTCCTTCTAAGGTCCACAGTGTTAATCAACTCCAATAGGAAAGTGATGCCCTCTTGTAGGAGTTAAAAGCAAACCTATGCCAAGCCCAACAGCAAATCGTGTGCAAGCTAATAAGTATAGGCAAGATGTGGAATTTCATATTGGTGACTGGTTTTTCTTAAATTGCAGTGTTATAGATTGAGATCTTTAGCTCACAAACCCAATGAAAAACTAAGTCCTCAATTCCATGGCCCTTACAAAGTGATTAACCGTATGGGAGCAGTTGCCTACAAATTAGATCTTCCTACTCACTCCTCAATCCATCCATTTCTCCATGTGTCTCTTCTCAAGCGTGCAATTCACCCAACGACTCTTATTTAGGCACTACCATCAGCATTAATAGAGGACTTAATCCTAGATGTTTCTCCGCAAGAACTTTTGGATACCTAGATTGAGATCTTTAGCTCACAAACCCAATGAAAAACTAATTCCTCAATTCTATGGCCCTTACAAAGTGATTAACCGTATGGGAGCAGTTGCCTACAAATTAGATCTTCCTACTCACTCCTGAATCCATCCATTTCTCTATGTGTCTCTTCTCAAGCGTGCAATTCACCCAACGACTCTTATTTAGGCACTACCATCAGCATTAATAGAGGACTTAATCCTAGATGTTTCTCCGCAAGAACTTTTGGATACCTAGATTGAGATCTTTAGCTCACAAACCCAATGAAAAACTAATTCCTCAATTCTATGGCCCTTACAAAGTGATTAACCGTATGGGAGCAGTTGCCTACAAATTAGATCTTCCTACTCACTCCTGAATCCATCCATTTCTCTATGTGTCTCTTCTCAAGCGTGCAATTCACCCAACGACTCTTATTTAGGCACTACCATCAGCATTAATAGAGGACTTAATCCTAGATGTTTCTCCGCAAGAACTTTTGGATACCCAATTCAATAAGGATGGCGAGTTGGAAGTTTTGATCAAGTGGCACCATCTTCCCTCTTTTGAAAATAGTTGGGAGGCTACAATTACCATCAATAAAGAATTTCTTGCATTTCACCTTGAGGACAAGGTGAAACTCCATGGAGGGGGTATTGATAGGTTTAGTGGCAAGGTTTATGTTAGAAGAAATATAGGAAGCAAGTAGTTATAACTTCCTAGGAGGTAGTTATAACTTCTAGCAGTTGTATTGTGTAATTATCTATTATATTTTGTTTATGTTGGGTTGGTTTTGGGTTTTTTTTTCCTTTCTATGAAGGCGAAAGGGGAAATCTGGAGAGTAGGGTACTCTTGAAAGACTTGGTGGATTGTATGCTGATGTTTTTCTGTTTTTACCATTTCGGTAGAACATTATGTTCATTTCTAATTAAGTCATATGTGTTAATCTATCTATCAACTATCTAGTGAGTTTTGAATACCTATCACAGGTTTTGGAATTGACATAGTAGAAATAGAAGAAAGGCAGACATAAAAAGATGAAGATAATATATGGCAGCTCAAACCAATGTAATGAGGAGATGGATTACAGGTAGTGCGTATACCTTTACAGAGGGCAATTGGAAGTTCAGAATCAGTTGTTAAACCCGAAGGAGATTGAAGGATTGGCACTAGAAGTGAATCATCTAGTGAATGATGAGAATGTTGTCGTCGACTATATACCTGAAGGATTGGTGGAGGCGGAGAATTCGAAGGTGGATTAGACACAACAGGAGAATTACGAATAACAGGAATACTCAACATATTTTCCAGCCGAACCGGTAAAAACTTCTGCTACGAAAAAAGGTTGTGATAAGAAACGCTCAATTATTCGTGCTCTCGCTATGGTTAAGCAATCTTCTTCGGATAATTCGTCCAAGCCAAGGATAGCTATAATGTCTTGAAGTTCTTTGTAACGTTGTAAAGTTTGTTTAACTCGTTGCGTAGTCTCATAATGTTCTTCACCAACGATTCGAGGTTGGAGCATAGTTGAGGTTGAATCTAAAGGATCTACTGCTGGATAGATACCTTTGGCGGCTAATCCTCTTGATAGTACAGTAGTAGCATCTAAATGTGCAAATGTCGTAGCAGGGGCAGGGTAGTAAAGGGAAACACACACGAAGAAAGAGACTTAAAGTAAAGAAAAGACTCATTGAATGTGAATTCAGTTGAAATAAAAAACCGGTTAAGGAGAGAAGCATATATATCCTTGTTGTGAAGCTTATAAAGAAAAGGAACAAATGGAAAAAAAGAAAGGCATAGACCTAGTGGGACTAAGTCCATCTATAGAACCTGAGAGGGTATATAGAAGATAAGATAGAAGGTTGTGAGGACAATGTTAGGTTTCTTGGCGACAAGAAACTAAATTACTAAATTGGCTTAAGGAAATAGCACGCAAATCTTACTGCAACAACATAAGATAACACTTTAATTCGTAAAACAAAGTAAAAGAGAACATCCAACAACTTCCAAGGGAAGAAATTCCCTTCTACACAGGTTAAGACCTCTTTCTAAATAACCTACTCCACACCCAAAACAAGGGAGCCCCTTAAAAGATAATCCCTAACCCCTATATCCAAAGGAAATGGTTGAACAGGGATAGATTTGGAACTGTCACCTTAGGTTGACTCCAACAAAGAAAGTAGTAAAAACAACAGTTCAACCCTTCGTCATGCACCATGGGGGATGAGTGTCAAAGTGTGTAGCCGCACCGATGTCAGCTCAACTCTGGGAGTTGTGAGATCAGAGGATAGCTAATACACTAGTGTAGCTACTCAAATTGAAGGCTTTTGTAGCAGCGGCAGCGATGGCAGTGACAATGGTCATGAAACACAAATTGGGTGCACTTTAGGCACCCCTAAAAAATGAAAATCGCAGCTAGGACAGCAACAAACAAAATATGGAAGTAGAGCCACCCCCATAAAGTAATGATTACAAAAGATCTCCAGTATCTTATAACACCACACTTATAATGATTACAAAACCTTCTTGTAACTTACCAAAATACTGCACCGTGACTCAACACTATATTGAAATGCATCAACATAATAAAGGTTATACCAAAAGCAAATGAAAAAGGCATTAAATCAACAAGTGATCATAGGAATTTAACCAGTAGGGTTTAGCAAATCACTAACAACAATGCTAGGGAGAAAAATCTATAACAATGTTTATTTTCAAGCATGACCTCTGTTTTGGATTTGTCTTTTTATTCAATTGCTTAGTCCTAGGATCACCAAATGATTAAGAAACTTTTTCCTATAACCAAGTATCCTGAGGATGCAAGACAATCAGTATCAAGTAATTACTAACTTAATGATCTTTTTGAAAAGCATAATAACACCTTGACAATAGTTCATAATTGTGGTCAAGGTGAGCATATACACACATTAGAAAACAACAAAAAGAGTCAAGCATAAGTTTTCAGCACTACACAAGAAATGGAAGGAGATTTGAAAATTATGAGACACAAGTAATCAAAGAACTTTTCAGTATTTAACTACATCAACAACTACACATTTTATAGTTCTTGAAGAAAATAAATCCATCATTTGTTATATGTAATAATTAGTAAAAGTGCATAAGTACCTAAATGTTAAAGAAATTAGACTCAGCATTTATCTCTAAGAAAATTAATTTCAATAATACATGCAAAAGAATATTCTCTACATAAACTGTAAGTTAAAACATAGAAATGAACCAACAAATTCATACACAGATTTTTCAGTTACAACATTACATCAACAATAACAAGAAATTTTAATAGAACGGAAAGTGAACTAGTCCCTTAACATGGAAAATACTCATTTGGAAAGGGATGAAAATTTTATGAGTATCAAATCTGATGAAGCTTGAACATCAGGTAGTAGTTGCAGTATTCACCAAGAAAGGTTCTTTTGAACTCCAATTACCTGACAGTACCCAACTTTAGGGTTATGTCGAGCATATGCTAGCAGTAAACGCCTCAGGGAATTTCTGCCATTTTCATCCAAAGCAGGGTGACCTGGGAAAGTTCGTGGTAAGTCCTGAAAATGAAAAATGAGGTTTAGTCTAAGGAGAGAGCCAGCATTCAATACAAAGCAAAAGATGCAGCACGTACAAATCAAAATAAAGTCCAGGGCGCATGCAGCTAATGACCTTCTCAATCTGCTTTTTCCATTTCCCAAATGCAGCAGATGAGACATCTTGCTCCTCACTTTCATTACGAGCTAACAGATCCTCATAATAGCCTTCCACCCGTCGCTTCTTCACACCTACAAAGGCTTGCCAGACCTGTAACAACAATATTGTAGTGTAGGGAAGGTTGCGATACTTTTCCCCCAATAAAATAACTTCAGTGAATTAGAAAAAAATTACCTCTCCTCTAAGATCCTTCGGGACTCCTCCTTGAACAAGGGACTCCAGTTCTTTCCATCGAGAGAAAAGTTCAGGTGAGTTCTGATCTAATAAAGAATTTTCTTCCTTTGAGCCATTGATACCATCATCTACAGGTTTAGATTCTTCTATAGATGGAGGATGATTACTATTTCTATTTATTTCTGCACCTTCCATTTTCTTTCCCTTGACACGAGAACTGAATATTTCTTCAATGCCAATAAGAGATGGCCTAATTTCAGCCCAGTGTTGAACAACCTTACGAGTCTTTCTTTCTTCACATTGATGAAGTTGCTTTCTAGAGATATTTCCGATTTCACTGTGAGAAATAAAATTCTTGTCTCTTGAAATACCGCCTTCACTAACCCTCCCTGGATTAGTACCCTCTTTTATCTCAGTGCCTTCAGAAGTCTTCCTGTCACTGGAGTCACCTCCTATGCTAACCTTGATAGCATTAGTCTCTTCTTCTAACTCACAAAACTTCCTTCTGCTTGAATCATCCCCATTATTTGGCCTATGTGGAATTCTCTCTTCGTTTACCTCATCACTTTTAGGTTCAGCCTTCAATGTTTCTTCATGTTCATTAGAAGTTGGTCGAGATGATTCAGCTGCATGTTCAAGAAAGTCGTTCCATTTATCTGATCTCTCATCTTCCTCTTCCTAATTTAATGAATATATCAGTTTAGGGATGATCATAAATTGAATCTGCGCTGCTTATTGTAAAAAACCAGTTCTTAGGATTGAAAGGATAAGATCATTTAATTAGGCTCCATTTTTGCAATATCAAAAAGCTAGAATGCACACTTCTGTTGTTTAGTATAATTTTTTCTTAAAATGATAAGATAAAAAATTTAAAATGCTGCCTACAAATTCATTTGTCATATGTTAATGCATACTGCAAAAGAAACATCTAGCAGTTATTTGCAACTATTAGAGGGTGAGATTGTTGCCTTGTAGGCTAGAGGTCATGGTTCAAATCCTGGAAACAGACTCTCTGCTTGTGAATGTAAAGCTATGTGTGACTACATCTACCATCCCCCAATTAACTAAGTAGGAGTCTTATGCACACGGGTCTGCTCAAGTCTAACCATATGACTTCCCACATCATGTACCCTTTTTGAACCAATAGAAAAATGTCAAAAAACCTGGTCTTATTTAAACTTCTTCAGAAAAACGGAATATCTTCTCTCATAAAAAAGACACATGACAATACCTATTGGAACAAACATGTAGTCTCCGTTGGTTTTTATTCTTCATCTTCTTAATGTAACTACTCATTTCGTCACTTCAGGAGTTTAAATTTATTTCAAGATATTTATACTTTAGAAAGTCAAGAAAGCATTAATTACATTTCTCCAATAAAGGTATTTTAGTTGAAAAGGGCTATTATGTCATGGTGATTGGTAAAATATATAATTTTGTTAACATATGCGTCCTCATACTTTACTTGGAAATTAATTTTAAGTGGAGGGAACAATAATTAATGGATGATTAGAACAAAAATCATCAGTCACTCACAGCCCAAGGTTTGTCATTTTTTACTATTTAACAAAAGCACTCACGGAAAAGGGGAAATCTCCTTTCAATATTTAAAGGGGAAATCTCCTTTCAATATTTACCCAATAAAGGAACTATGTATCTTTAATAATGATGGACCTTAAAGTGCTTCTACTTAATTACACTGATAGTAAATACGCAAATGGTACATTAATATCCCAAAGAAATGTGGTTTTGCACGCGTACTTCAATATCGGATTGAAACCTTAAACCTGGATCATCAGAAACATGAAAGCAAAAGTGAAGTATGATAGTAAATACCTTGTATATGGGAAAATACTCCCTGTATCGTTGTGCGTATTGAGGCCTTAATGCAAATCCATAAGAATCCCTGCTAAACAGATTGTTTAATTATAGTTATGTTGGGAAGAAAGTTAGAAGAAAAAACAGAGTATCGGTCACTTCCAAAAACAGAAATAGACAATTGCACGTAACACCAGCACGTAAACTACAATTTCTATAAAATTGCCGAGCATCACAATCTCTAACATTCTCTCCATTATCCGTAGAAATTTGTTGAAAATCACAAATCACAAAAGATTTTGTCAAGAAGTTTTAACATGTTTGAAAGAGTGTTGTTAACCCTTATCTAATTTTTCTCTAATTTCTAAACAACTAACAAATTAAATTACATACGTAACACATGCATGTAACTAATTCTACCATATTCGTATGCTACCTGGAATCAACCTCCAACGAGCGCTTACTCAGTAAGGACAACAACATACTTTAAAAACAGGTACAGTTCTACAGCCCATAGCTTTCGCTCGCAAAACCAAACTCACAGTGCTAACTAACGGTACCACCACATTTCAGACTCAAGATCCAAGTACGCTCATTAAACCGATTCCAGAAGGAATAATCAACCAAAGAAAACCGTGTTCGGAATTCACGATCGGGATAAAAACCAATCGAGTTGACAGTGTCGTTTCTGTTTCACAGTTGGTGTGAACAGTAACTGCTACAAAGAAGCATTCCAAAACGGACAAAGTCGCGATAAGTTAGTGCCCAAGGACGCGTGGAAAATCGTGTGCAGCACTCCATTTCTATATATTTTGTACACGGACCCATGCGTGCATACCTGGTGTGTTCGAAATTGTGGACGAGATTGAAACTGAAGTGCGCCATTTTCGGTTGCGTTGGCGCGAATACAAAGAGAGAGAAGGATTAGGGTTTGGTGAGTTTGTTTCGGAGGAAGACGAAAGGCTAACTGAATCTTCCTTCATTCTTGCTCACCATCTGTATTCTTGTAAATCAACTTCGTTCGCCGCAGTTTTTTTGCAACATTTGTATTTGTAGGAACAGTAGTAGCCGTTGATGTTATGCTGCACCTAAGAGAGTTAAAGAATAAATAAAATTATTATAATAAATTAGTGAAAAACACATGTCTACTTTTCTTTTATCTATACCATTATATATATATATATATATATATATATATATATATATAATGTCATATAATATTTGTACCCTATTAATATAAATTAGTTTATTAATTATTTTATCCTTTAGATTTTTCTAACTGTATTTTTATAGTTATCTTTTAAGAATATTTGTTTCATAATTTGATAAATTTTTATTTTAATAATAAATAGAAATTAAAAAAAATAATTTATTTTTTGTCAAAAAGTAAAAGTGAAACATTTGCATTTAGACGTCTATGTAGCCATCATTTATATTTATACATAATAAGGATTGTTTTTGGTAATTGTTAGTAACATTTTTTTATACATCAATTTTATCTTTATTAATATATATATATATATATATATATATATATTATTTTATTAATTATATTATCTTTGAAATTTAAAATAATTATCTTATTGACTTTTATTTTAAATTTAACCGTTTTTTTAATTTGACTATTTTTTTGAACTTAAAAATATTTTAAAGTTAAAATAATTATTTACAATAAAAATTATATCATTATAATAATTATTTATATTTATTTTTATAGTTATAATTTTTTTTATTTTTTATTATCATAAAGAAATACATGAACATAATAGAATTTATATTTTGTTTTTCAGTTTTTTCCTTCAAATAAAAGTTTTTAAATTTATACTTGTATATAAAGGATTCCTCTCTCTCTTTTTTGTCTTTTCCAATTTTACTTTTTAAATAAGTTTTTCAAAATTCATATTTATATATACAATGAGATTCTACTTTTCGGTGTCCACGTTTATTTTATGTAATATCTCATTTAATAATATAAATATATTAAATAAAATATTATAAAATTAATAATGCAGAACACGTAAAAATATATAAAATATTAACATAATTATCCCACTAATCCTAATAATAAAATATACCTACTAAAAAACTAATAGAATCTTTCAAAAGATTATATACAAAGAAACTAATTTTATTTAAATATTTTAAAAAAACTTTTATAGAAAGAAATCACTTGAACTAAAAAAACTACATAACACATCACCACCTTCCTTAATATCCTTAATATCCTTAATATCCGTAAATAATTATTACAAATAAGACAAACAAACACACAAACACACAAAAGGATAAGTTAGTATACAAAAGAGTTATTTAATACTAAATAAGTCATGTTATATATACAATTTAAGTATAGATAAACACAATATAAGGATATGAACACAAGCAAAATATTATAGACTCAATTATCTAGATACATGCATTGACAATAGATTCATTAGGGCATGCACTTGTGATGACCTCTACTGCTCTGCAAAGCCATTGTCAACGAGTTTTACCCTACCACACACAAGGTTAATCCCCTTTTTTGCCTTAGGCCAAACAAAGTTCATAAACTATGACCTCTTAGTACTTTTTACCATATAACACATTCTACTCTATTTGAGTGTAAATGGTTATTAAAACGTTAGAATACCTCCTTACTTGAATTCATACATCAATGCTCAACGTCAAAGCATTCGTAAAAATTGGCGATCGTAGCACCATGTTGGTGCTCAACACCAAAGCATTCACAAAACTGGTACTTAGTTGTACCATTATGGCACTACCCACCCTGAAACTAAATTGCTCTTAGACTTGCACAAGGAAACTAACGCTCAATGCAAGTCTGATGCCATTTAACGATGTATTAGAAAAATCATGCTATGATTGAAAGAATTTTCCCGGTTCAATTGATCAATTTGATACTTCCCCCTTAGCGCTTTAGTTCAAAATAATTTTTAAAATATTAGAACTTGTACCAATTTTCTCAATTGCTCAAATTCTAATGCTCTCATTCAAACACCATATCAATTCAATCAAGCACAACCATTCTAACATCCAGTTACCATCTGAATCATAGAAAATAACCACAACAATACATACCAAACTAGTTTAATCAGAAAAGTCATTTTATACCTAATTTGACATAACAACAACATGCATTCGTAGAATTAACAAAATCAAACAAAAACAGGTCAAGACTACCTTACCTGACCAAACTATTCAAACAACTCAAAGACAACTCAATATCCTCAAACTCACATGATGATCTATCTACACATAGAAACATCATAGGAACAATCAAAATCTACCATTATGATCATTGATCAATAGAGACTCTTATAGAACACAAAAATAACACATGCAAATAGAAGAAAATCCACATGCAAGAGAAAATAACTTACTCAAATAAAAAAACTGAAACAAAGGTCGAAATTCCTAAAGAGAAGTCAAATAACTTTAGAAAAATCGTTTCTAGAAAGATGATGTATATTAAAGTAATAAAACTCATCTTAAAACTTCATATTTGTATAAATCCTTTTTAATATTAAAAAAATTAAGTCTCACAATTTTAAACTACTTGTCTATTCTAAAATACTATTTTCTAGATCCTCACATTATCCAATTTATCTTTTCAATAAAAGTTTTTTAAAAATAAAATAATACTTTATACTTATATATATAAAAAGAGATTCTACTTTTTTTTGTGTTTTTATTTTTTAATCTTATCCTTTGAATAATTTTTTTTTAAAATAAAATAATTATTTTATTAATTTTATCCTTGAGTAACTTTTTTTTAATTTAACCATTGGATCGTTTTATTAAACTTCGCCATTTTTTCAATTATAAAACTACCTAAAAATAAAATAAAAAACTATTTACATTAAAATTTTAAAATTTATTTATATTTAACTTTATAACTATAATATATTATCATTATTTTTTATTATCATATAAAAGTTAACACGCATGTTGCAACATCCCAAAATTAAAAGAAAAATAAAAACCTAAACTTAACAATTGACTTTATATAAACAAGAGAATGGTGAAAAACCATATTTTCTATTATACACTTAGCTGCATGGTTCACTAGTACTTGCTCATCCCTGACATTTCCCTAAGCTCACACCATTAAGGTGATCATTGCAAAAGAGAAGACAAAACAAACAAACAGACAACACAAAAGCAAGTGTAAGCTAATATCAAAAGAAACAAACACAAGATATCAGAATTCATCATACATATAATTCATACCAAATTAAACAAACATCCTAGGCATACCACGAATCTATACATGACCATCTAGATAAGGTATGAATGTTGAGTTATGACGAGTCATGCACTTGTGGTACTACTCTACGGAGCCATTGCCAATGGGTTTCACCCTACCACACACACAAGGTTGATTTATCTCGCGTCTTAGGACATATTGTAGCACCTAGATTAAGACCTCATGCTACTCTCACCACATGCATCAATCCTCTCTAATTAAAAATAAATGATCATTAGAGTGACAAAAAAAAATCCAAGACTAAACTTCCTACATTCATACCAACAACATTTTGATACAATCATTAATAATTCTCCTTAGAACTCTTATAAACCTCAATTCCATACCTGCACATATTTCAAACCATATCACTGAATATAAGATAACACATCATGCCATTTAAAACCAAACATGAAAGAGAAGAGCAAATAAAAGAAGACCTAGACCCATTCGCCCAACAGTAGAAACATCGCACCCAACGAACATAGACTCGCCTAGTAAACAACCTTCACTTGCCCAACGAGAGCAAAAATAGTAAGCTCCACCAGCCTAGCGAACTGGCTCGCCTAGCCATTAAAACCGAGTGCCAAAACACTCTAATACTCGCCCAACAACTCTGTAGAAAACTGCATTAGACTTCACATGTATCTGCTACATCTAATTAACATTCAACAACCAAAATGAATCTATCAAGTGTTTTAGATTCAACTCAAATCCCATTAGACTTATCTTTCTATGAATTTCTAACTTACTCCAACTAAAATACCACTTTATAGCCCATAACTCAATTCCATCTTTTTTAACACAAAACTTGTGTCTAAAAAGGTTATAAATGACTTAACAACATATCTCAATTCCTCCACTTTATCGTAGACCCTATACTTTATAATCTCACAAGTCAAAACCCCTAAAATGAACCTAAAACCATCCAAAACACAACCTATTAACTATCAACTTCTATAACATATTTATGTAACCCAAAGCTCCAATAAGTTTCAAATAATCACAAAATAGATCCTAAAACTCGGTTTTCCACCCTTTGACCATTACTTCAAAATTTCACCTATCAAACCCTCCTTTTTAGACCAAAAACCAACCTAACACCCTTCTATTTTATTGCAACCAATACCACATAAGTTTTCCATTAAATAGAACCCCAAAAAAAGCATCAACAAAACCAAACAATTCACATTTCACAAACATTCATAACAATATTCATCAATCATCCAAATTCACTCATCAAACACAAATGAGCTCGCCGTCAAAATCACTCCTACGGTCTCAATTCTTCAATCAAATGAGTAGAGAAGAAGAAATCCTAGAGAGAAGTCAGAAAACTTTAGAAAAGTAATTTTTAGAGAGATTGTGTGTTTTAAAATAATGAAACTCGTTTATAACAAATCCATTTATATTAAAATATTTTAATATTAAAATAATTGAGTCTCACTATATTTAATTCACTAAAATACCATCTTTAGGTCTTTTTCACACACGTAACATGTGTTTTTATTAGTATATATAAAAAATATTTCTATTATGCTTGTTCACACTTGTTTTATAAATTTACTCTGCAAATAATTTAAAAGAATTAAAATAATTATTTTATCATAATTTAAAAAAAAATATTAAAATAATTATTTTATCATGTTGTAGCATATGTTTTCATTATTCTTTATCCTCTTAACAAACACTACTTATGTTATTAACAGTTTATAATTGCATATCAAGTTACCAAAGGACAAAAACTAGTTTGTATTATCCGGTATAAAA